TGGCAATTATTTATGAGAAAGAATAGAATAATATATCATTTCCTAAGCCCCTTGTTTGTCCTAAGTATTTCTTTAATGTGTTAAATGCAGGCATATTAAGTGCTTACTATATGCCATATAAGCACTAGGAATATAAACATGAGCAAGGCACAGCCCCATACCCTCAGGGAGCTTATGTTATTATTTTTTTAAAATTCATTTTCTTTATTTTTTGTTTTCAACATTCACTTCCATAAAATTTTGAGTCCTAAATTTCTGCCCCTCCTTCCCTTCTCCCCTCTCCACTCCCCAAGATGGTGTGCAATCTGATATAGGCTTTACGTATACATTCATAATAAACACATTTTCACATTAGTCATGTTGTAAAGAAGTATTAGAACCAATGGAAGAAACCAAGAGAAAGAAGAAACATGTAAAAAAAAAGAGAGAGAGGACAAATAGTATGCTTTAATCTGTATTCAGACTCCATAGGTTTTTTTGGATGTGGATAGCATTTTCCATCATGAGTCTTTTGGAGATGTCTTAGATCTTTGCATTGCTGAGAAGGGCTGTCTATCAAAGTTAGTTATCGCCCAGTGTGGCTGTCATTGTGTATAATATTTTCCTGGTTCTGCTCATTTCACTCAGCATCAGCCCATGCAAGTCTTTCCAGGTTGTTCTGAAGTCTGCCTGCTCATCATTTCTTACAGCACAATAGTATTCCATTACATTCATATACTACAACTTGTTCAGCCATTCCCCAATTGATGGGCATCCCCTCAATTTCCAATCCTTGCCCATCACAAAAAGAGCTGGTATAAGTATTTTTGTACATGTGGGTCCTTTCTACATTTTTATGATCTCTTTGGGATACAGCCCTAGAAGTGCTATCACTAGATTAAAGGGTATACACGGTTTTATAACCCTTTGGGTAGAGTTCTGAAATGTTCTCTAGGATGGCTGAATCATTTCACAACTCCACCAACAACGCATTAGTGTTCCAATTTTCCCACATCTTCTTCAACATTTATCATTTTCCTGTTTTGTCATGTTAGCCAATCTGATAGGTGTGAGGTGGTACCTCAGAGTTGTTTTAATTTGCTTTTCTCTAATCAATAGTGATTTAGAGCATGTTTTCATGTGACTATAGATAGCTTTCATTTCTTCATTTGAAAACTGCCTGTTCATATCCTTTGACCATTTATCAATTGTGGAATGACTCGTATTCTTATAAATTTGACTCAATTCTCTATATATTTGAGAAATGAGGCCTTTATTAGAGACACTGTTTGTAAACATTTCCCAGCTTTCTGCTTCCTTTCTAGTCTTGGTTACACTGACTTTGTGCAAAAACTTTTCAATTTCATGTAATCACAAATATCCATCCTGCATTTCATAATGTGCTCTATCTCTTGTTTGGTCACAAAATCTTCCATTCTCCATAAGTCTGACAGGGAAACTATTCCTTGCAGGGAGTTTACATTCTAACGAAGGAAGAGAATACATAAAAGGGACCTGGAAAGGCTGAGGGGGGTAGTGGCATATACCTGTGCTGGCATGGCTGAGTCTATCCAGGAATACCAGGGAGGCCTAAACTCAATAAGATAAGGCCAAAGCTGGTAATTCCACGGTTGGAATCCAAGTTTCTGGTGGCAATCAGAAGCCTGGAAGGCTATGAATGTTATCAGCTTCTTTTATAAATAGCCAGCTTTTATATAGCACTTTAAGGTTTGCAGAGAGATTCACTTGTGTCATGTCATTTGATTCTCATACTAATTCCATAAAGTAAGTGTTGTTGTCATCCCTCATTTTATAGATAAACAAACTGAAGCTGAGAATATCTAGCTGACTTGGTCAGGGTTACACAGCTGAAAAGTGTCAGACATGGGTTTTGAACCCAAGCCCTAAAAACACAAGATGGTAGATTTAGACACAAGCAACTTACCCAGAAGCCCAGAGTGATGAAGTGAAGTCATGACCTGTGATTTGAGCACCAGCCTTTCTGATGCCAAGCTCTTCTTAAGGTTGAGAGAAGCATTCTGTCCGAAATGCTACCACACTGCCCTCTTCAAAGAGAGAGGAATCATTCCCAAAGGAAGAATCTTTTCCAGCAGGGAGTTTCATCAATAGCATCATAGCTTGACCAGGGGGGAAAAAGGCTTCAAAACTTGCTTCAGCAAACCTTTCTCCTTGGTTCTATTGTGAGCAGCAGATGCCTAAGACAGGCTGGGGGACCAGGACCAGGACTGCCGTCCTGCTCCAAACAAGTAGGACAGCAAGGTTCAATTACCAGGGTGGCTGATGGCCCAGATGGAGCTGGAGACCAATCTGTGAGTGTGAAATCTGGGGCTGAACAGCTTTCCTCCTCCTGACAAAAGCAGAGTAAAAGATTCTGGGGGCACGGATTTAATGTGCTCATCTACCTTTCCTAGACTGTGAGAGTCCAGCCCTAGATTTCTAAAAATACCAAATTGAATCTCTTCTTGCCTTCATTTGAATAATGTGATGGCTTTTTATTTATTGTTTCCGAGCAGTGAACCTGGCCTATCCCTGCAAGTTCTAGCCATGTCTAATGATTGTTCGATAAATATTTATGAATCACATCCTATCTCTCCCTTTCCCAACTCTGACCATACATTAGCTGGAGTCCTGGCCTTACTCCTCTGGCAGTGCCTTGAATGCTTGGCAGGACCCAGAGGCCTCATGGAGTTTGACATCTTCCTTTGATTCTCTTTCCTCTGCTTTGGGAGCCTTAGCTAAGAAACTTCAATTCAAGGATTTAAAGGCAGTCTCCTGCAGGGGCTGCATTGTTCTCTTCTGCAGAGAACAGACTGAAGCCTCTCGATTTGAGATTTATGCTCCTCCTGAAAAAGCTGGTTTAGCTAATTCACGTATTAGTGGAGAAAACTCTGATCTGGTCTATCTAGAAAACTGTCCCTTTATCCATCATCAATTTTTGATTTTCCTTTGGTCTGGACCTGTGATTTCACCAGCATAGGGAACTCTGCAGGTAGACAGTCCTTCTCCTGGAGTGCACCAGCAACTGTCTACAAGTTAGAGACATAGTGAATATCTGAGGCGTAGAGGTTAAGCAATTTACCCAAGGTCACACAGCTAAAGTGTGTCAAAGGTAGGACTTCATCTTGGGTTCTTTCTGCCTGTGGGGCCAGTGCCACATAACCGTAATGCCTTCCACTCATTAATACTAATATGAATAGAAAGGGGAAAAACATGGAGGGCAGAATGGGAATAAAAGCACACTGGAATGGGTTCTATGGAGATATGGTGCATTCCTCCTTATGAGAAGTCTTCAAGCACAAACTTGACTTAGGACCACTTGTTGCTTCAAGTCCATTCAATAACCGCCATTATAGGAGCGACCCCAGCCTCAGGGCTCACTGCGTTTCCAGTTCATTCTCCAGTTGGCTTCATCTCCACACTGACTTCCTTGCCCCTTCACCAGTACCCTTCTTCCTGTCTCCTCCTCATACTTGCCTTTCTCATTCCTCTTTTGGATTTTGTTTTTATTGTACATTTAAGTATACATTTCTTTATTGTATTATTTCTTTATGTGAACTCTCTGAGAACAGCAACTGCCTTGTTTTCTTGTTAGTGTATCTGCAGCACTTAGCGCACTGGCTGGCATATAGTAAGTGCTTAATAAGTGCAGGCAACAGGGTTAGAAATGGATTATCTACCTGTCTGTCTATTGATGAATCAATCAAACAATCATTTATTAAGAACCTGAGTCCCAGGAAGCTAGGTGGTACAGTGGATAGAGCACCGGCCCTAAAGTCAGGAGGACCTAAGTTCAAATCTGGCCTCAGACCAAACACTTGACATTTACTAGCTGTGTGACCCTGGGCAAGTCACTTAACCGCAATTGCCTAAAAAGAAAAACAATTAAAAAAAAGAATCTGAATGCCAGGCAAAGTACTAGTTCTTGGGGATAGAAAGACCAAACAAAGGAAGAAACAAAAAATCCTCTGTCCTCAAAGAGCTTACATGAATAAATACAAAGGAAATAGTCATTTTAGGGGGAAGAAAAAGACCTAAAACTCAGCAGATCAGTGAAAGTCTTTGAAGGAGGCTTAAGTTTGATCTATAGTGCTAGAGATAGATTTTCTTAGTGTCAGAGGGGGAAGGGAGGGTATTCCTGGTATGATCACACCTATGCAAAGACACTTGAGGTGGGAGATCAAATGATGCATACTGGGAAATCTTTTTCTGGGTATCAATTGGACTAAAAGGCATCCATTGTGGTTCAATCTCTTCATTCTGAATCCCTGGGGGTTCAGTTTCCTCATCTACAAAATGAGGAAGTTGAACTAGAGGATCAATGAAGTCCCTTCCAGATCTAGACAGAAGGTCTTAAATGGCTTCTGAAGTTCTTTCCAACTTGGAGATTCTGTGAATGAGAGATCTCATGTTGGCTCGTGTTTTGTTCCTGGAAAGATGGCCATAGATTATTCTGACAACCAATGCCTCTCCCTCCCTGGAGTTTGGAAAACTTCCCTCATGACCAGTTTATACTAAAAATGGTGCCAGACTAATTAGATTAAATTAACTTGCCCCAGACACTTTATTACAGATTGATCTCGTTTTTATTCTGAATAACTAATCACCAGAGGGGCTAATCATGAAAGAAATGTTCATCCCTTTCCTAACACGGGGTTTTCCACTGAACTCCACCTGATTGTAATGGGACAAGCAGCAAGGACAAGTCATAAAACAGAAGGGAGACAGCAGCGTCCTTCAGCAAGATCACCTTCATTCCCCTTCTCTCGACCACATTGCTCTTCAAGCATTCCTGGCAGGCGTGCATATTCTCAGGCCAGGTTGCTTAATTAAAGCAAGCCTAGGATAGAAGTGGACTGAAAGAGAGCAAGGTCCAGCTTAGCGGTGCTGCATCCCCGGGTTCAGGCAGGAGAGCACTCCCGAGGCACCAAAGCTTCCTTGTCTACTTTGGATGGCCAGAGCATATAGGATGAGGCAATGTCATCCGGTCTGCCTGATAATGTGGCCAGTCCCCTGAAGAGCTTGTCCTTCTCTGAAACCAGGAGAGGGCCTTAGAGAGACGTGTTAAATCTTCTGGCTGAATGGGATGTGCACTGTGGTAGTTGGGTACTGAATAGTGCTGTTCATTGCACTTCAGGCCTGGAGAGAAGAATGACCAGAACAGGTTGATTCATAAAAGGGATTGAAGCAGAAGGTGAGGGCTCAGGTGATGCAAACTCTATCTGCTGTTCTGGTGCTGGATTTGCCTTTTCTGCTCCCCTTTACTTATTTTCATTTTTGATAAATAAAGGGGGTGGGCTAAACACATGTATAGTAGACCTCATTTTGAGTCCCCAGAAAAAAGTAGTCAGTCATCTGACTGCAGTGCTCTACTAGAATGGCTAGCCTTTGGCTGTTTTGGCAGGCCAGTGCAGTCTAAGGGAACCATCCACATGGGGTTGCCATATGAAAGCAAAGGTTGGAGAGGCAGGCTGAGTCAGGCAAACAGTCAGCTCCCGGATTTTCCCTGCATGGTACTTCCTGCTCTGGTATTGACCACCTGAGTGCTAGCTATGGAGTCATTGAAAATGGTTTAATAATAGCACCTACCTCCCAGGGTTGTTGTGAGGACCAAACAAAAAAATATTTCTAAGGCATTTAGCACACCACCTATTTCTCCTCCCATCCCCCCAGCAAAACGTTCTATTTATTTTTTGTTTCATTAATGTCTCTTGATTTTACTTTACATTCATTTCTCGTTCCCAAAATATAATTTTATAGTTTTTTTCTGATTAATAAGCATTCATTTTCTGCCTCTCCATAGTGAATAATTATTAAAAGCCCTGATAACAAATATGCATAGCCAAACAAAACAAGTTCCCACATTGGGTCTGTCCAAAAATATGTCTCATTCTGTATATGCAAAAAACTTTGGGAGCTTTACAAAGCATTGCAGAAGTGTTAGTGAGTACCATGATTCTTTTGAGCTGTGATCCTATACCCACCAACATGTACACATTTAGAATGATTTAACAACACATGCAGTTTGACTTGGTGGCAGATGGGCCATCCAAAGACCATCGAAGCTAAGATCCAATAGAATCTGGGCCAGGAGAGCCACAGGTGATGACATCTGTACTCATAGCAATTCTGGGCAACCTTCTACTAAATCAGTTGGGTTGGGCTCTCTGGTGATGAAGAGAGGGGCCATGCCATTGACATCAAACATCCATAAAGTGCCAAGAGTGTGCACTCTGGCTTTGTTGCTGACTTTTCAGATACCCCAAAGAGCAAAAGTATCATATAGAGAGTTGGGGAAACCCCTCAGCCATACCAAAAAATGTGAGGGATGAAAGTTGAAGAGAGGCTGATTCAAGCTTGAAAGGGAAAGCTTCCTAACAAAGAGAGCTGCCCCAAAATGAAGCAGACTATCTAGAGAGGGACTGGGTTCCCCTCTTAGCATGCCTGCAGCTGAAGTCCAACTGAATACACAGCTGGGCTATGATCAAGCACATTTTTTAAATAGACTTGTAGGCTGGACTAGAAGCCTTCTGAAGTCTCTTATATTTCAGAAGTTTAACAAATATACTTAGAATCTGGGCATGTTTTTAAAAAATCAGTGACCTTATTGTGATCTTACTTAGCACAAAGCCCAACACATAGTAGGCACTTAATAAATGCTTATTAGTTGATTATTGATCAATTGACTTGGTTCTGATGAACTATGGAGTTCATCCAGTTAAAATATGCCCTGTATTCTCACACCTCTCTGCATTTGTTCAACATTCTCTGCCTATCATTAATTCTTCCCTCTCTATTCATCTGCTGAAGTCATTTATGTCCTTTAAAACCCAACATAAATGATCACTTCCTAGACCTAAACACCATCCCCTCCCCTCCTTAATCTACACACTCTACAATTCATACTAGAGAAGTCCTATTCACTAATTCTACACCCTGACTTGAAACCTATTAGCTGACTATAACCCTAACCTCAGACCTTACATAATATTGTATCTTGTGCTTTAGTAATACACTTAATATTGCATATTGGGTATGTATTTGGAGAGACAGTTTGGTATAGTCACATGGTGACTCACAAACCAACCTCAAAGACAAGAAGATCTAGGTTCAGATCTTAACTCTGACACATACTGTCTGTATGACCTTGAACAAATCTCCTAACCTTTCAATGTTCTAGGAAACTCTCTAAAGTGATAAATTGCAGAAAAATGCTGCTCTGTACTGATAAGGGCAATTTCTTCAAGGAAGTCATCTATATGAATGAAAGCAAAGGTTCAGCCCCTGTTCCTGTAACCTAGGTAGGCACTCATTTATTTGACTTTCACAACAATCCTGTGAAGTAGGTATTATGGGTCTTCTTATTATTCGTATGTTATATATGCAGAAACTGAGGGTCTGAGGGTGGAGTGACTTGCCCATGGTCATGCCACTAGTAAGTTTCAGAGGCAGAATCTGAAGCAGAATCTCTCCTCACCTAGTTCTAAGGTCAGTTGCACTGCCCTCTGCTTTATTATATCCATACCCACCAGCATACAGGGATACCTGCAATCTGGGCTCTGATTTCCTCAAGGAAATCTCACTAAATTGATAAGCCCATTGGATGCAGAGACCAGTAAGGGCCAAGGCCCTTTCATCCATCCATTTACTGTATTTTATTAAAGGCTTTCTCTGGCTATTATTTCTGTTTGTAGGTGACTTTATAGTAACTGCATTAAGCCCTGAAATGTCACAGGGCCTCCTCAATGAGATCCATGATTACTCAAAAAAGCTTCTTTTCTTTACTCTCATATTTACCCTCAGTGGTTAGCACAGTACCTGATACATAGTTGATATTCCATTAGCATTATAGAATTTAATTGGGGAAAGGATAGTCCTGAACTAGTGGAATCAGAATTAGAGCACATTGCTATAAGAAACAATGAGCAGGAGAGTTTCAGAAAAATCTGAGAAGACTTCAATGAACTGAAGCAATGTGGAGTGAGCAGAACCAGGAGAACATTGTACATAGGAACAGCAACATTGTATAATGATCAACTGTGAATGACTTAGCTATTCTCAGCCATACGATGATCAAAGACAGTTCTGAAGGACTCATGATAAAAAATGCTATTCCACCTCCAGAGAAAAAACTGATGAAGTCTGAATGCAGATCAAAGCATACTATTTTTCGCTCACTTTATTTTTCTCAGTTGTTTTTTTCACTTTTCTTTTTGGTCTGTGTTTTCTTTTATAACATGGCTAATGCAGACATATATTTTGCATGACTGCACATGTATGATCTATATCGAATTGCTTATCTTCTCAAGAAGGGTGGAGGGGAGGAAAGGAGAGAATTTGGAACTCAAAATTAAGAAAAAACAAATGTTAAAAATGGTTTTCATACGTAATTAGAAAAAATATATAAAAAATTTTAAAATAGAGCATATTTAAGAAAAGAAATTTAATTATTGCTTTCAATGATATGCTATAATTTAAATTAGGATAACAAAGTGACACCTAGAAAAAGACTTTAGTTAGACAATAAGCATTACCACGTGGCAAGCACTCTGCTAAGCAATCCTTAGGGGGCTGGTTTCAATGGATGAATAAGAATACTTTTATAATTAGCATAGCAATTGTTTTATATAAATGGAAACTTTTTTTTAATGACTGAAACAGCCATTTTGGGAAATGTTGGAAGACTTTTCTCCTTTAACATTTTTAGGTGATTAATTTGCACTATTCATGAAGAAAGCTTTTTACTAAGTTGAGAAAAGTTCAAAATTACCCAACTACTGAAAAATAACACATAGTCTAATTTAGTGGAGACCAAAATAAAATATGTATTTATGTAATATATAGATATTAGTATACACACATTTATGTATGTATGTATATGTATATATACATACATTTATATGTGTGTATATACACATGCACACATATGTATGTGTATACACACACACACACCTTTCATGGCTGGTTGGAGCAGGGAGGTAAAGTTCTGAATAGTTTGGTCCAACCTCTCATGTTACAGACAAAGAAACAGCACCAGAGATTCAACCACTCCCTCAGGGTCACAGAGCCAGTTAATGAGTAACAGAACCAAAATTGGCTCCAACCTAATAATTTTAATCATTTGTGCTCATTTTTAAAAATTAAAACAAAGGCCAGAGACAGCAGATAATGCCCAAACAATGTCTTTTTTAAAACTTTCTTTTTTCATCGGAAGTCTTGTCTACCTAATTGTTGTAGTAATGAACCAATTAAGATCATTAAAAGCACAGCAGAATTTCCCAAATGCAATCCAGCCCATTCTCCTCCTCCTGTTCAATTCTGAGCGTAGTTCACTAACCAACTGCAGTGTCTAGCCAAGACATATGTCCTTCTGTACTAATTTAATGGACTGGCCAATAAACTTTACGTCATAGTCTGAGCATGAGGCATTTTTCATCCATTTGTTTTTTTCTGTCTGAAGTGTTAGGTGCTTTTTTGAGTAATCATGGATCTCATTGAGGAGGCCCTGTGACATTTCGGGGCTTAATGCAGTTACTATAAAGTCACCTACAAACAGAAATAATAGCCAGAAAAAGCCTTTAATAAAATACAGTAAACGGATGGATGAAAGAAGGAAGGAATATCATGGTACTTCTTAAGTGCCAAACGCTAGACTAAACACTGGGAACATAAGCACAAAAGCATGATAATCCTTGCCCTCAAGAAGCTTACAATCCGGGGGGGGGGAAACAACTAGAGGAGAATGGTGCCTAGAGAGTAATATTTTGACTTGGAAAATTACAGGGATGGTGCCCAGGCTGTACATTAATGGATTGATACAGACTTCCTAAAAGCTATAACAGTATTGATTCAATAAAGGTTCCAGAACTGGAAATCCAGGGTATCATAAGGAAGGGAAGAACAGAGGGCATGCATGTGTCAGCAACATAGATAGGAAGAAGCTGGCCAGGAAGTAAGGTCAAGCATGGCTGAAGCTGGTCTAGATAGAGGGGGCCACAAGAGTCACACAAAAGTCAAGGGATCAAGAGCCCCAGAGCAAAAATTCTAGAACTAAAAAAGTTAAGTCTCTTAGAGAATATTCTCTGGTTCAGGCTGCTAAAAGTTTGACAAAACAAAGGCTAGAGCCATTTAAAAATAAT